CAAGGAAACGAAATGTTTTCGGGGATTATTGGTTGCCTTCGTACGTTACTGTATAGCACAGGATACGAAACTCCATCTTCATCAATTTTATTCTGAAAATTATGCCATTTGATTGAATTACACGCTTGACTCCATCTTCTTTGCGCACGTACAAGAATGTATATCAAAAACTTATTATTTTTAATGTTGCTAATATTTTTAATGAATATAATATATATATATAAAATATGAATTTTATATAATATCTAAAATGCGGAAGTATTTTAAAACAGAACGTAAGAATTAACATTATTTCGTGGTTAATCATACTTTCTTTAAATCTGTACGGCGAAGCGGTCATATTACGGGCAAATGAGTTTCTCCTTTGATGGAATATGATACGCTTTGATGCCACTCTTCATCCGACCACAATACCTCTAATTACGCAAGATTCGTATCTTTATTAAAGTGGCATACATCATCAGATATTTACTTACATAATCTAAGTTTATGCAACTCGCAAAATACAATTTATAGTTGGACTGCCGTCAAGATAAGTTTTATTCATACAATAATATATATAAGTTTTCTTTTACTAATTTTACTACTGTTATTAAGTAGGAAATTATCTCGACATTTAAAAATACTGTGATGAAAGTAGAGTATGTAATGTTCAACAGTATTTTAGAAATATTTTTTAACATCTGTTGCACCTATTCCAATAATTACTCTGAAAATTTGCTTCCAAAATTTTTATATAATCAATTTTATGTAAATGATTCTCTATATACTTATAATACTGTGGATAATTATTGTTAAATATATATTTATATTGTTGTAGATATTATTCAGTATTATTTTTTATTTAATTTAGCTTTCTTTGCTCTCTGTAAATGCAAAATGATCTTTTTTACGATTGATTGTGCAAATATATCTTCGAAACAGAATGAGACTTTTCACCTGTGACTTTTTCTGACAGGGCATTTAAGGCGGTGTCGATTAGAGCGCGCTTAGCATTCGACACACGTCACATTCTTGCTTTCTTCGATTTGCATTCCACCGTGTCGCGGCGCAACTCAAATACTGTGACGCATAAAAATAATTTGTCGGTCATATCTTCGCAAGCAAGAATTATAACACATGCAGAGCTATTTTACTATGGAGTCTTACTATTAGAACTATACAGCTGAAGACATTATGATCTCTAATCTTGTCTTGCTTTTGGACAATGCCAATTTTTTTATTATTTACATATATGATATTTTATATTTTAATAAAATATCATACCTTTTCAATCCACTCTTAAAAAAAGTTTTTTAAAATAATTGATTGAGTATTTAAAAAGAAAACTATTTTTTAGTATTAAAAGTTAAATTTAATCTTTTATATCATGAATACGGAATATCTTTGTTGATTTTTTTTCAATAGAATAACGTGGCATTTAAAGGAGTGTAAGAATTTTTATATAAAGTTCAAAAAAGATGTTAATAAAATAAGCAAATCACAGAATAATTTAGATATGTTGAAACAGCCCCGTGTGAACATAAACCGCATAACATGAGGTCTTCCTACGGGCCGACAAGGCCGACTAAAAGAAAGGTTCCGGCCTTTCTCCAATTGCTTGGAATGCAAAACACTTTTCTTTTCGAATTGCGTCAGTATCTTCCGGTTCCACGTCCTAATATCAATATTTCTATTATATAAGTCTTAATGGATTTTATTGCAATTTTTGATAATAATACTAAAAGTTTTTTATACTGGCAATTAGACCATAATGTTACACTACGAAACAAATAAAATAATTTTCTTATTATTTTTATATAAATTTTTATGAAATCAATATTATTATTTAACAACAACAACACTATGTTCAAATTTTACTGACATCCACAAATATTTCTGCAAATGCGTGGAAAAATTACAGACCATTCACCTAAAACACAAAACTTGACTTTGACTCGCAAATCACGCGCAATTTTTAGTAGACAAGATAATCTCTTGCATGCTAAAACATTTTCGGCAATCTTCACAATAATCTTCTACGAATTTACTAACAATAATATCACTTCCACTGATTTCACACGGGGAAATTAATATTAATAGTATTAAATTTCCCACTTTTATCGCTACATGAATGCTACATGAATTCTAATAAGTGTCTTGCAATTTATATAAAAATTGATTTTAATATCTTTTAAATTTTATTTAAAGCCTCAAGCTAAGTCTTAGTGTAATTCAAAATGACAAAAAGATGCGTTTGTATTGTGATTAAAAGAAAAATAGTTTGTTATTAAAATTTAGTTATCTTTAGTTTTAGTTTAATTAGAATCTAATCGAATTGGAATCTTAATTTCATAATATTTTTTTAATATTAAAAACTTACCTTCCCCACTTGAAGTATGCTTCGCAAGAATTCCATGAAGGGCACACATCCGCCCGGATGGAAGCCAGCGATGGCGAGAAACAAATAAATCACCTGGACTCTCATGACTCTCGCGAGCTATCAGCAAACGTTTCAAGAGCTAGTAACCGAAGAAAGTCTCTTTTCAATTTTCTTCGGACTTTCCTGTGCTTGAACTGCTATTCATTTCATGCTGAAAGATCTTGTTCGGTCCTCGACTTGGTCAGACGAGACTTCCGGTCCTCATCGACGTGCTTCCTACAACGCGAGCATCCTCGGCAGATCTTCCGCGTCTTCGACTGGAGAGAACTGCAAACTTTGGCGTACAAGTACAAAAGTCGTTATTGCGCTGGTATATAACGAGAGGATTGTTTCAATAATACCATGATTTTCAGATTATCGTTTACTTAACAACAAACACCTGTCGCGACATAGAGATTTGTTTAGTTAATCTCACTGATACTGGATAATATTCTGATCTTTACTAAAAAGTATAGTTATCGTTCGTAAATTCAGAGATACAGTTAAATCCGCGTGAGATGAGAAAAGAAATTATTTCCTTATCAGCGATATTAAAGCAGCCATGATTAGCCTTTTTTAGCCTCATTAGCCTCATTAGCCTCGATATTTATGAGTTAGAGAAAGTGAGCGTCTTCCGGGAGGCCTAGCCTATGATATAGCCTTGCTATATCAGATCTTTTCTGCCTTTCGATTAAAAAAACATTAAGCCTACGTTTTATTTCAAATTATGTTTTACCTTAGATTACGTCTGCGATAATGATATAATGTGATAACGACTCTTTCTGTAAGAAAACACTCAGAATTTTTCAGAAATGCAAACGACTGACCAATGACGAACAATGTTCTCACATAATTTGACCAGAAACACAAAAAGAAAAAAAAAAGCTAAAGAGTCAACAAAGGTTTCGAAAGTGTCGCTTTACGGAATCCCCTATAAGAGACGAAAGACGCGCTTTCGCTAGTGTCTAAGTTCGCGCCTTAGCACCGCTGGGCATTTTCATAAATCATCTTTTATATCTTTAGAAAATACAATTTGTCATCTGTTACACGAAAAAGTAAGAAACAACGTTGACAGAACATCGAAGGCACGAATACATGATTATTAGGGGGAACTTTTCACTGTCAGTAAAAACAATCACGTGCACTGTAGATCTAAAAATATATTTTTGATAAAAAATAATAGGTCAACAGAATAGGTGAATAATAATGGGTTGATTTCTAATAAGTCAAACATGATTAAAAGTATATTAGCATTAATTAAGTATTCTTTCAGCAAATCTTATATTTCATGTACATTTAATTTATGAAAATTTTTTGGCTACATATTATAATTTTTACGGCTGGTATAGAATATATAGGTGCATATATGTACCTTGCCATCTGACGATTTGCTATTCCGCGTCATTACAATATTTAAACATATTTAAACGTTACATATAACTCATCGTTGACAACTTGGAAATTTCCATTATAAGAAAATTTTTTCCAACTGCTCTCCACGTGTAAATTTTGCATTTAAAATTGGTCCGGTTAAATTATGAAATTTTCCAAGATGTCCTCGATTGAAAAACTGACACTTCTTTTTACGTAAAAGTCTTTACGCAACTTTTCGCACGCAGATATAATCGTGAGACAGACACTGAAATAATGATCTTGGCACCGAATTATTGCACTAAATGATCGCAAAACGATAATTCAAGGAACTTTTCGCGATTCGCTTGTGGGAAGGAACGATTCTCTTCACCAGTACTACCGGATGACACCACTAAACATGAATAAAACGGGTCGAAGAAAGACGCGTTCGTCGTGCGCCCATCGATGTGACCCCCACTTACGATGAACATATTCACGGTTCCCCTGCATTCTTTCGTATTCCTATGCGATGGTAGACAAAGTACGTGAGTAAGAGTGACGAGACCTACAGCCGAGATTACGACAAACCGCTTACTACATTTCTTATACTAACATCCGTTTATTCCGTTTATATAATACTTTTTCTTTCGTTAAGAGCAATTTTTCAAAAATTGCATTAAAGGTCACTCGCACATTTTGCAGTTTGAATGTATAATTCTAAATATTAAATATATTAATATGTTATTCTAAATATTAAATATATCTACATTAACATTAATCTAGAAAATCATAGACAATAAGATTACGCTTATAACCCCCATTTATAACCCGTTATAGATTTTATGGAATAATAATAATTAAAATAATTTTTTATTATATTTTGATTTCGAACTCTATAAAGAGCTAATAAACACATTATGGCACTTTAAGTAATCATGGCACTGCGTTTCCGTTGAAAAATTCTTACATTAATTATGGCTTAATAACGGAATAACGGAATATATCCGTATAATCTGGAACAATATTATTTCCTTTATTAAGTACCGATATTTCTCACGAGAGCAACTAGTTTTGCTAAAGATTCTATTATTTTGAATTTAAGATTGTAGTCAGATAGGGTCTCTCCGACGTCGGACAGTGAAATGATTCGAACAAATTGGACCATTTCGTCTTTTTAGAACCCACTGGCTCCAACAAATTGTTCCATATTCCGTTTGCATCTGTAAAAGTACAAGAAAGATACATCTTTGACAAGTACACATCTTTAACAAATACATTTCAAACTGAATTAAAATTTTGTTCTGAACAAAACATATTTAAAGATTTGGCAAGATAAAAATTTGCGCGGATCAGATATAATACAGACACAAGTTACTGTTTCTTTATATTAATTGCAATGCGAGACATTTTTATGATAACTAGAAACGCTACGATTAAATAATAAAATAAATAAAATAACATAATTTTTAATTTTGATAAATTAGCTATTTATGCAGTACATACACTTTCTAACTAAAGGAAAGTTAAAACTTACATAGAGCGTTGGCCTTTTGACTAACGTGGAAACAATCACTACTTAGATATGTCATATCACTATATCCATCTGAAGCAAGTGGTATGAATGCTTCCAACAGGATAGGTTGGGCTACAACTGCAAAATCGTCTCTCTGGAATTCTGGGAGAGCAGCAATTTCTATGTCTATCTGCTGCCATCTAAAAATATATTTTCAAATTTTTAATTAATCTGCATTTTATTCTCAATAATATTAATTTCAATATTATTATTAAAATATTTTGTAATGCGTTACTGGCGTTACATTTAAGCGCAAATTAAATTACATGATCACACATAATTATTATAATATTTGATAAAAAATAATAAAGTCATGATTCTATTGCTTACCGTGTCATAATTTCATAATATAACGGTATAGATTTTTGAAATGCAAGACCAAACAGACAAGAGCATTCCAAATCCGTTGTGAGGAAACATGAGAGCGATCTTCTGTCCTTAGCAGCCTTGAGCAGAGCTTTCAAATGTGGTGGTGGAATCAACGCCACGAAAGTTCGCGGCAAATTATCTCTCAGTGTCCGCAACACCTGCAGTAAATCAGCTTTGTGCTTTTCAAGAACTGACCAAGGTGACGGAACCCAACATAGTTCAGTACAAAAGTCATTACTTCCGATCATCAGTGAAATGAACTGTAAATCAGATTTATTATTATCAATATATAATATAATACCATTTGATATCAAGAACACCATATAATAGTTAATAATCAAAAGTAACAAAATCTGGGACAGATTAGATAAAGCTAGGATTTGTTGTGAATACACAGAATGTATTAACAAAGAATATTCGTAAAAAATTAAGAGTTTATGACACAATAAATTTTTACGCAACGATAAAACAGTAAATTTTAAATTAATTTTTAATTAAATTAAGTAAATCAATAAATTTTTACGCAGGCTTATATTTTCTTATATTTTCTAAATGGAGTGGCCCGTTGTTAATTTAATTACGATATAAAACACATCTCAACCAAATAAATTAAAATAACATAAACATTGCACGCTCTCGTTGTTCAAATTTGTAACAGATTATTGAGCATAACAAACCTTCCAATGTTTCTGCAGATCTATCCTCCGATCTCTTTTAATTCTTTTGACGAGTATTTCCGCCATGTAAGGCATATCCTGGGACCAAGCACCGGATTCAGCGACGTTCAACTGCGATGCTTCGTGAGACGCCAAAGAATCTCCCAAAGCATATCCTATCAAATTGGGGTTGAATTCCTAATATAAAGGAAAATTCAATATATTAAAATTCGATATATGTTTTAAAGATAAAAAAATTCGACACACACTTTGTGCACAATTACTACCGAATTACACTTTAACTCACAAGCCGTAATATATAATATAAATTTTTTATATTACATACAGGAGTGCACCTCGATTTACGAATTAATTCGTAATTAATTAATTAATTTTCAACTACTAATGGTAAAGCGAGAGTTAGTAAGGTATTATTATGAAAAACAACATAGAGATAGAAATCAGCCACTGTTATCACCGGTGTCACAGGTACCCATTCTCAGAAACTGAGATACTTAAACGACATTAGATATATACATCATGGATATAGTTTTAAGATTGAAATATTTACATATTTTGAAAATTTTTAGCTTCAAAATAAAATAATTGTACATCCAGGGTTTCATAAAGCGGGATATTGTAAAATGATGAGGTACTTAATACCTTTGCTTTAGTACTTTTACTGGGGATAAAACCGGTTCAATTATAATTTTTCAAATTTATGCGTACGGGAAAGTAGAAAAAAATTTTTTACATTAATCCTAAATTTTTTAAAAATAATAATAATAATAATTTAAAAATAATGTAACAAATAAAAATAAATTTAAAAAAATTTTTTTAATAAGAGAATTATTTATTAATATTAAAGAAATAAAGGATGTAAAAGCGTTAACTGTCTTATATTAAGTACATCCTGAAGACTAACTGTTAATCGTCAGATGCCGAACTTTTAAATATAAAAAATATGTTTGTCTTTTTTTTTCTTCTTACATAATCATTATATAATACGTTAATACGACACTACAATTGGAGAAAGAATGTACTGAAAAAGACGTGAATAACGTTATGCAATGTAAAATCAATTCATGAATACATGTAACGAAGATATTAATACGATCAGAATCGTCATGATATCACGAATCGATAATTGCGTTGCCTATTAATCAACGGTTCAAAACTTAAGAGGCAGTAACTTATGGTGTACACTCCATAAATCTTCAAAATACAAAGTGAGAAACGGATCGAGAATCCACAAAAAGGTCAATTCCATCTGTTAGGTAGAAATGTAATGTTAATGTCATGCTAGTAACAATAATGTTGCAACAATCCATTCGGTACTCCATTAAATCATGAGATGCAGAAAACATTTCTTGTCACCATTTTATCAGTATTAAGATTTATAATTTTTTTTAAATATATTTAATAATTTTAGTATTTAAAACAAAGTAAAGTAATATGGAACTTTTACACAAAAAATTAAGAACTGAGTGGAATACACATGCATACAAAAGCTTGGGAAAAAATTGCCATCGAAATAAATGTCTATTTATTTTTTGTGTAAAAGAATTGTATTTATATATTTTACTACAAAGTACCAAAATATTACTAAATATTAAAAAGACATTATAAATCCCGGTATATGTAAAACGGCAACAATCAAAAATTTTTCCTGCTGTACGTAATCCAACGTAATGTGTTGAATCTTATGATTTAATGCAACAACGAATGTATTATTGATTACAACATTATTGATATTAGCATAAGATTAACATCATATTTCTGTCCAACAGATGGAACTGATCTTCTTATGGATTATTATGACAATAAAATGCAAAACAAAATATCCAAATATAAATTATAATATTTCTATAATTTTGATTGTATTCAATTGTAATACAATTCAGAATTATATAGAAATATTAGAATTTATATTTAAATATTTTATTTGGGAATTTATTATCACACATAATATCATCAGTGGGTTAAATTTTTATTTTTTTTGTAAATATATACATGTATATCGATTGCTAAATGACAAATACTTGCCTTGATTATATTAGGAAGAGTTAGATATTGCCTCCATGTGCCTTGACCTCCTCCTGTCGCAGAAACTCCTCTATTTTCTATTAAAATTTGTAATACATTGCTTGCGAAAACTCCGGCTCCAGCTGTAAGCGAGTCGCCCATCGCGGCAATGACATCAATGTCACCCGGTCTTAATTTATGCACTGAATTCGGCACCTCGGGCGATCGACTACCTGAAATTTATTATTTATATAAATCATGTAACACTAAATAAAGAAATGATGTCCTACTTTTATTTTATATTTTTTACAATAATTTATTTCATCAACTTTGGTCAAACTATTGAGTTGACTTTTCTGCAACAGAAATATTGTCATATTTGTCAAATAACTTCTAATTGAGACAAAACCACATTTTTCAGTTTATTTAAGAAGATTTTTTGTAGTAAAATTTTAATTCATTAGGGTTCTAAGATTTAATTATAAAAATACAATATTGAAAATTACAAAATTTCAATAATAATATTTGCTAAATTCTGCTATTAATATAATAAATATAATGCATTAAAAATGAAATGTCATGTCACCACCTGTCACTATTTTTACAAGCAGTTTTAACAATTTGAAAATAGAAATCATGAAATGTGAAGTTTTTTATAAAAGTATTATTTTTGTGATAAAAATAAATACATACATTTGCGCTAATCATAAGAATAACGATGAGACAATTTCGAATAATTATTGATAAGAAAATAATTGTGAATAATATATGAATAACTATGAAATATTTCACCTGTAACATTGCAAGGAAACGGAATATGGTCGGGAACGGTTTTTTGTATTTTGTTTGCTTCTTTTGCGATTTGCAGGAATCTTTCCTCTGTTCCTGTTTTACCTGTAAAATTAACAAATTACATATAATAATTGCACAAGCGGTGCGATAAGTAAAAAGAAAGTATTCATTTATGTTCAATGTAGCACGTATACAAATAAATTAAAAAGTAAAAAATACTTGATAAACAAAAGCACTTAATAAATGAAAATAATACTTTACTAAATAACGATATAGTCTGGAATAATGCGCACGTAATCCGGTATGTACATCAAATTATACCGGTTACAACAATGAATTATGCAAAAGAGCAGTCTAACGAAGTAGGAAGAAGCTTTGCGAAAACGCGAGTTACATTCGTTTGTCGTGTTTGCCGGAGAGAAACCGCTTCCTTTAAACTGACAATGAGTTGGAAGTCTTTTTTTTTTTGTTTTTTTATCCAAGCTAAATTGGCGAGATCAGTGAAAAAGTATTAATAAACAGATGCAAAATAACTTTGTAAAAAATTGCAAATAGCTGAGAGCAAATAGCTAATAGTTTTAATCAAGAACATATAGCACATGTATCTCTGTCACAGAATAATTATCCAAAATTTGCATTGCAAACTATAACCAATGTTTTTCTAGACATATCGTACTATTATTTTGTGATTATGGTCTCCTTTGATTTAAAATATATCTTACACTTATATCTTTATTTAAAAATAGAACCCTTGCTTATAAATATGATACTTAAAATATTCTATTCACGTTTGTGCAAATGAAGATAATTCTCGCATTCTATCTTGACTTATCGTGTGTAGCAAATAACATATTGTACAATATAAATTTTTAGATAGTTCACGATTGTTTAGTGTAACGTAGTAACGCATGATGATTTTCAATAGATATACAGCTGTGAAAGATAAAAATATGATAAAAAACCGTAGCGATTATCTAGATATAATAACAGCCGACATAAGAAAGAATAAAAAACACTAAAAATAAGACACAAATAATAAGAATTTGTCATATAAGATGTATCATATGTATGTATTTCTTCTATATTTGTGTTATATCCGTTGTGCTTTTTATTTTTCAGGACGTAATTGATTCGAACGTACACAAATATTCGAACACACGTTTTTTCACAAAACTCCAAATGTTTCTGATTTTCAAAATTTGTAATAAATTTGGAAATTTCTCATTGTCTTAAGAAACTCATAGGGTCTAAAATTTTTCGTGCCTGAAAATTATGCTGACAATAAGATGCAGAATGAGTGTGCACTCTTGACTTTACATTTCAAAAGAAGAATTAAAAAAATATACAACTGTGCCTGTGAATAGTAATTGGCTGGCACTTCCACTCTTCAACTTCAAAGAAAATGCAAAAAGATGAGTTTGGTTTTTGTATTACTCTTATATCTCTCTTATCATACATACCAAAAGCGTTAAAACTCCAATTCCGAAAGGCGCGAAGGAATCTGATGTTAAATGGCGTATCAAGGGCGGTTTTCTGACCCCACGCTCCCACGCACAGATGTAGCAAAATGTAGCAGAACTTCCACCTCTTCCACATTGTTCTTTGCAGAGGGAAATCAACGACGAACTGGGATTCGGAGAGCCGTTTAGCGACGAGGATATCACGTTTACCCGAGCTGTGTAACTTGGCGTTGTGCAGCGCAGATGTGTTGCACCGTCCGAGATCGAAAAGTCCAATGATACGTTGCAAAGCTCGATCCACGAAGAAGACTCGGCTACAGTACCAGCGACCTTGATCATGCAAGGTCGCCCTGTTCTGCTCTACCCTGACCACGCAGAACAATGAACCATGACAATCATTTCAAGATAGTAAAAATCAACAACGAAGGCAAACTTGTTGCTCATTACTGTTTAGGAATAACTTGCAAGGCAAGGCTCGACTAACTTGAGAATATCGTGATGTAACTACACAATTTATAGTGTTGATATAAAAATAACGAATATACATAGAAAGTGTGGTCACACACTATTTCTTTTGCTATCCGAAATAATTCGGAGAGAGTAAAATTAATGCTCAATAATTAGATCATTTGTTTAATAAATTGTCTAAATTTCATTAAAAAATTATTTTATTAAAATACTTAATCCTATCAAGGGAAGCAAGTTTTATTTATAGAATTTTTATTGTATTTTTTTTTGTTTGTTCACAAATAAATAAAACGTAACAATAAACTATAAAATAAAAATGAAAATGATACAGTACAGATCCTGACCGAAGGTCTTTTTTTTATACGAAGATATCAAGATACTACATACGTAAAATCATCTATATAAAAAGTAACTTCAATTTTTTACATTTAATGATACACGTGTGTAGAAATATTGATACTTTAACCATTGATGTAATATCGAATAAATAATTTATTATATATGTACACACATACGTTTACGACAATAAAAAAATTGATTAATTTTATTCTGTGCTAGCACAAAGATGATATAAGTTTTAGCATAGCTTCGAAAAAAATTATCTTAAAATATTACTTTATTAACTCGGTTGTGAAAAAATAAAAAATAAATCTGTAACTTACAACAATTTGCAAGGAAACTTTTATGCATCAAGACTCGAAAAAATTTGATTTACGTTTCGCACGTCTCTCTTTTGATTATCTGGCGATAATCAAATCGCATACGTGACATCACGACCGTAAAAAACGCAGTGATAAAAATTGCTTATTTTCGTGTATGAAGAAATCGCGTTCTTTTGTCTTCGTTCGAATGCATCATGACGCATTTTTATACGCATGTGTGCGTTGCATCAATAAAGCGCACTGAGTAAAGCATAGGACTTACTTCCCAATAAACATTAGGACATTCTATGTACGTCCTATGTATATACATATATGGATATTGTATATTCTATGTATATACAGAGAATGTGAAAAGTATATACAGCGCATATCTTATGTATGTGAAATAATTACCACATGTATGTACATAGGATGTCCATAGTACATACATACGTATATTCCAAAGATATGCAGTGTACATTCGTGGTATATACATGGAATATATTGCAAGAATGTGCAATACACATTTGTGGCATGCACATGAGGTATATTCTATGTATGTACATAGTATATACAGTACATTTTTTTCACATTATGGATATTCCATATATATACATAGGGTATCGAATGTTTACTGGGTTTTTTTTTCGTTCGTACACAAACAGCATTTTGAAAATGAAACTGATTCCAAATGCGTATACTAGATGACTCATAAAAATATAATAGTTTCTGCTTCAGCAGAACTTTAAAGAAATAAATGTAAAAGTAAAAACACTTAAATATTAGAAGATTTTATCTTTGATATTCTCAATCAGAAATAAGTAAAATAACCTTCTTATATTTTGCTGCGCGCCATTACTTACGCCATTACTTTGGTTCTTAATAGCTTTATTCCTTAAAAAAAAAAGAAAGATTAAATTTGAGATTAAATAACCAAGGTTAATATTTACAAATTGATCAGTCTTTGTATTTTTATTTGGCCATGCAAAAATACAAAAACTGAAAAATTTGTAAATATTAATCTTGGTTATTTAGTCACAAATTTAATCTTCTTTTTTTTTATAGGGAAAGAACTATTAAGAACCAAAGCGTAAGTAATAGCGCGTAGCAAAATATATATTTCTTCTAACACAATTGAATGGCCAAATAAAAATAGATAGTTTAAATAGATAATTCATCTTTTAGTCAACAAGAACAAATAAAATGACTCTTCGTCTCGTATGTATTTCTTCCTTCGATGTTGGCAATATCTTAATGAAGATTCAAGAAACTTGTACCAAATTTATTTAATCATTATTTTTAATTTGAAATACAAACAAAAGACATAATGAAAAATCAGTGTTAAAATAATCAGTGCCAAAATTGCATATCTATCGCGTAATACACAAATAATATTATTTTTATTATATATTTTACAATTTTACATATTTTTTAGAATTTTCTATTCTACAGATATCTAAAAACATTAGAAAATATTGGAGGATTACGTATCTGGAAAAGAATGCGGAAATCAGTGATGCAGTTATACACCGATAGAAAAATACATTTATAACATAATAGTAATGCTATTATTCAAAGTGTTCAGTATTTACCAATGCAATATGCAAATGCAATAATTATTATAGAGCAAGTACGCAACTCTTTAATGATGAAAACAACATTTGAAATACAACATGTAACGAGCACCTTAGCATTGACAAAGCTATTGCTTCTTCAAATATCATTTGCAATATCATTTATTATCTTATATAATCTATTTTACATATACCTCTGCAGATTTTTGGAATTTTACAATATAAATTATACACAATTGTTACGCAGGAAGAGTTTATTGAAAAAAGATAAACTAAAAAAATTTAATGTTAAATTTAATTAAATATGAATATGATAAAACTACTGCAAATAATAATTTAATTATAAAAAATATTAGAGTCCTTATTATAATACTCTGCAATTTTAAACATTAATATTATAGCAGTAATAAATATTATTAATATAATTGTTGCTACATGTTTTTTATAAAATGTTGACCGTTCAATAACATTGAACTTGTTTCATTTCTTTTCTTAATCAATCTTTCAGTCAACTGATTTTTGCTCAATCAACTTATCTTGAATGAGACAATTCATCAAGAATCTATGACTAGCAAGTGGCGTAAATATAAAATATTACTTATCTTCTGCTGTATTTTTGCTACATCGTCTGTAAGTGGCTTACACGACTTGCCACGAGATTGCGGCAGGCACAAAACTGGTAGTGTTATCGATATTTTAATGATGAGACTGTCGGACTGTCATGACTGATCGTAGCTCGACAATTGCTATTTGCAATACCTATTTTATCATCAGATGTTTTGTTTATGCACATATTAGATAAAATTCGATATTTTTATAGATAGAATAACGGATGAGACTATTCTTTGCATAAATGTCACAAATCAATAAATTTACAATGTGCAATTTTTACTAATTGTATCTATACTTTTTTTTGCATCGATCAATCAATTTCATTATTTAATAAAATTTATTTTCTTTGTTACAATATATTTAAAATTTAAATATTACGATTTTTAAAATTAAGGATTTATTAATTAAATAAATTTTATACAAATTTGACAAAATTGTGATAATTTCTTTTGTTAACAGCTGAATATTTTACTCTTATAAGTAATTTTAATATTATTTTAACAAATTTGTGTTTATTTTTATTACAATTTAAAAATAGACATATTACTCTTTATTTTTAAAATTCAATATATAAAAAACTATTTATTAGCTTATATTATATTGTTCAATTGTGGGGATTTAAATTTTGAAAAAGTTTAACGCAGGCAGTTAAATTAATGAAAACAAATTGTAAGAGAATGTGGAAAATATTTCAGGGAAGAGGTTCATAATATATCGGTCAGGAGCTCTATCAGAATTCTTCCTGCGCAGTACCCGAATTTCCTCAATCTGTCGAGGATGTTTTAAAGGCGAGAGCGTAGACGAGAGGAACCTGGTTCAACATTCAGGAGACTTTCTATTTTCAGCGGTGGTGCCTCTTGTTAGACATCGATCGTTGGTTTTTTTCCGTAAGTAAGATGTATATAAGGAGTTGAAACCGGAGAATACGCGAGAACTAGAAGAGAGAGAGAGAGAGAGAGAGAGGAGAGAGAGAGGAGGAGGAGAAGGAGGAGGAGGAGGAGGGAAGAGAATCAGTATGTGGGAATTACAGGGGCAGGTGGAAAAAGGGGATGTCAGAGGTCAAGGTTGATGCGAGTGAGCTCTTCCCTCTCTTCCTCTTCCTTTTCCTCTCGTCGTCATCCTCCCTCTCTGGGTCCACCAAAAGTGCAAATCGCCCAGTATTGTCTTGTAAGTCGATGTCAAGGGTCACCGAACTTTTGCTCTAAGGATATTAATATCGTTGTCGGGTATAACCAACGTGATTTCATATACCAGATGTATATAAGTAATCTATTGTCTTGTAATCGTAGCGTCCGAAGAGAAAAGTGGCGATTAGCCTGACAATCGCCTTTCGACGAGACTTTCTATACGCCATGTTCCATGTACGGTGCGTTTAGTTCTATTTAAAGCTTGGATTGAATTCGTAATATGTGAAATTCATTTTAAATATGAAGATATATTTAAAGTGGATCCCGCAAATTATTCTGTGCCTTATATACATATATAGAAACAACTTGCTGTCGTGCAATTCAAATTGAATTTAAAATTTTAAAAAAAATTGAGCAATTTAGACGAATTTTTTAATAATAATTATATATAGTGATAAATATATATATATATAGTGATTAATAATAATTATATATTAGTGATTTTTTTCCAGTAGCTTTCCTGAGCAACAAACTATATCTATCACGGTTCTGTAAAAGAACAACGATAATCAGTGACCGGAGACGCCATGGCTCTCTCCACGTTATCTCCTCGAAATTCTATTCCCAAGATAACGAATGAACGCTATCAGCACTTGTCATGACCACATCGACTACCTTTAAAATTTGCAATCGTCTTAGATTTTTTCTTTATATCGAGTTTGCTAAAATCCAAACTTTCACTCTTTAACGAATTCCAGAAGCTTTTTATTTATATTTTATTTACAATTTGCTTTTAAACATTTATATTTAAGTAATATTATTATGCAACAATAAATTATTAAC